GTAAAGATAATGGCTTAAGTGGCATTTCTAACATTTTAAAGAAAATTCACAGTGAAGCAGGGATTGGAACATAAGTGGCCTTCAGTGCCCCATATGGGTGCCTCAGAAGCCATCCACTCCTTAGGCATTTTAATGCCAGTTTTTAACCAGTTATGCACCTGATAATGCCTTTAACAAATTGAAATTTATCTAGCAGGGAACACATGTACACAACTATACAATCTATTTCTTTCCTTAGGCATGTGAAACAGACAAAGATACCCATGACTGTTTTTTTTTTTTAGGCAGTTTCATGTGTCAGTTGCCTCCCCAGTGCCATCAGCCCTGTCACATGCCACAAAGCTAAGCAGTTAAGGGAACTGCAGACCAGCTCCTCACCCGGGCAGCAGGCAGCATAAACAGGGCACAAATTTCAGCGCAGCTCCTATGGGAGCTCTTCGACTATGTAAAAGTCACCCCTGAAAATCATAATAAACATTTAATGGACTTTTTTTATCATTCTGGTTAAAGAAAAAAAAAGTGTAGCTGTCATAACATATTGGCCCCAACAGATGAGGCATGCAGCTAGAACAAAACAAAAAAAAAAAAAAAAAAAAAAAGCTGGGTAAGAATTAGGAGTCTACCTGACCTCTGGATGAATTAAGCAGATCTCAGAGAGATATCCTCCTTTACTTGGAGATGAGTGCAATCTACTGCAAGCTGCACAACAAAATCTATCCATACATACCACCATATTTTCAATTTCAGTTGAATCATTCAGAAAGGCTTAGACATAACTGCATAAAAATAGCATAATTCATTTATATCATTAAGCACCCTTCAAAAACAGTTTTAGCAGCCACGTTCTTATATAATCATCCTTTGGGTTACAGTAATAAACAGTAACATGCACATGGATTAATAAGCAGAGCCAAAACTTGGGACCTCTACAGGTAATTAAACAGTGAAAGAGTAAGTACATGCCCCAAACTCCAAGAGCTAAAACACACTCTCTTCTGTCTGAATTTGCTCAGCAAGCATGGAAAGAAAAGGGAAAACAGAGCTTTGCACAGGCTTGGTGGGAAACACCACACCTCAGGGCTGTTCGCTGTCCTGGGGAAGAAAGGGGAAGGACTTGTGCATGGGAGGGAAAGTTGAAGTTGGATCCTCCCACAGGTAAACAGATTTACATGCCAAAAGCAAAAAATATTCCGACTCCAGAACACCACAAACGCTGTTCAGCTTCTGCTGTAGCCACTGATCCACAACCCAAGTTGCTGCACATTCCCCTCACTGCAATTCCACACTCAGGCTTATCAGCAAAGAGTAGTCATACCTCCTACAGTTCTCAAAACGTTGCCAAGAAGCCCTTCTCTTACTGAAGGAGGGGCATGCCTCCTCAGCTCAGCTAGCTGATAATAATTTTGGATCCCACTGTGCCTCTTCCATTTACAGAAGGCTGAGCACCAGGCTGGACCCCTCTATGGGGCCAGCCCCATAACACAATGCTGGGAGGGAAACTATGGGAGGAGGAGACATAGGGCAGGGTTCCCACATTGTTCCTCTCCTCCTCATTGTCAGCCAAGCCCTGAGCTCCTCTGTACCTGCAACAAAAGTGACTTCAGGTTTCAAAGATGGTCCACACGCCGCAACGGAGCATCTGCCTGGCAAACATCCTCTGTTCACCAAAATGTTTGCAGCCTGCCTGGCAGGAGAAACCCTTCCCTTAAATATTTGCCCATTGTATATATCCATAATAGGTCCAGTTCCATTTTTTCCACCTGCACTTCTAGGTGGGTGTGCAAGGACACAAAACAGCTTTATAGCTGCTGTGAGTTATGCTGCATCAGAAAACTGGGAGAAAACAGAGAGTTGCTGGAGGAAAGGGCACAGATAATGTTGACCTTAATCTGATTTAATTTTATTATAACATCTAGGACAGAGGGAAGGAAAAAAGAACAGAAAGGAAGGAGCCCAAGTCCTGACATCATGCAATTTCATAGCTATTTCAATTGCCTTGGCAGGGAGGGAGGGTGGTAACTATTACTCTCTTGTTTGTGGAGGTCAGCTTGAAAACTGGAAAAGGTTAAAGAGCAATATATAAATCTGAAAAGACGCATATGTAAGGGTTTATATTCTTGCAGCTTCATCATTTGAAAACGTCTGGACATAGGAACATTAGAAACCATATTGCTTTCATTTCTTTACCTATTTTCTTTGTGTTTTTCAACCTTCATTAAACGTCCTTAAAACATCTATCTGAAAAGAAAGACACACTGGGAACAAAGTTACATTTTTACCTATTTTCCAGTGACTTTCTTTACCACACCTTTTAGGCCAAACGCTATTAAGGAAAGTGAATGTTCATCCTCGAACACTCTTCTGCCTAAAAACCCACTAACAGAAATTCCACTAAAGCAGGTTTTTACAATATTAAGCCACTGACATTAACTTAATAGGATTTCTATAATAACTAGTGCTACTAAGAAGTAACCTCTTCACTAATTATTTTAAGGATGTTCTTCTTCCCTTCTTTTTTTTTTTCCCCCCAAAAGTGCTGTCCTCCTCACAGAAGACTGTGACTTAAATCACAGTCAAACATACCTAAAATGAGTGTTTGATTTTACCCATGGTAGGGAAGAAAAAACCCCAAAACTATTTTGTTACATTTTTTAGGCATATAACTTCACAAAGTTATACGAGAAAACCAATTGACACATTAAGTTGATCTTGTCCTAATTAACCAGACTAGACAAGTGCTCTATCATTACTGGATGCCTTTCAAGAATAATAGAAGATTGGATCACAAAGAATATAAATGTAGACTAAAATATGAGCAATCCAGAGTAGATCCCACTCCTACTTTTATCTTCTGTGCCAACTATTTATGCGTGCCTCCTGTTATGCTGTGCCTTGTACAGTGCTAGCCATACTCTTTGAAGCTATACCTTAACAATTTGAAAAGCAGATCATAACCAGTTTTACATCCATCTTTAGTCACCCAAAAAGTAAGCTGCTTTTCTAACAGTTATAAGCAGCCATTCCTTGAATCTGAGATTTCTCTAAAACTTCTCCAGGTGAACCTGAAGGTTTAAAGTAATCAATGTCTCTGGCTGCTTTGCAAATCTCATCCAAAGAGTCCTGTTATCGAAAAAATTCTCTTCCTTCAATGATCCTATTATTCTTATTTCACATTTGCTACCACAGGTCTGCAGGTAGAGTTACTAATGGTATCTATATGTCATGTCAGGGAATGTGTCTTCTGTGATTCATCGCAGCTGTGTCGCCATTTGCTTGTTTGACCCAGAGCAGATGCTGCAGCATCACAGCTCCATACACAGGACATCTCTGTATCTTTGTTGCATCTTTAATCATTACAAAAAGTGGTTATGTCACTTCTAAGGGATGTCTCCGGATGTTTTACAATGGTCAGCCACATACAGCTTGGCCCCAGATTTGCAGTGTGTTCATTCCAGCATAATCTAGGAGCTCAAATTATTACAGCAAAGAAATATAATTTAGTCATTTAAATTTTAATAAGCAAGGCTCTTTCGCTGAGATATTGACCAAAAACCCCTACTGTTATTCGACACAGAAACACCAATCTGACATTTCAGAAAATAGTATGATTACTTGATTATTTCAAAATAAAACCCTATTCTAAAATTCCATGTAACTTTAATTCAGCATCCTCTGCCTTAAAGCTAGATAGTGTTTTCCAAACCCGTTTCATGACAACAGCCACCTCAGTCTTTCTACTGAGGCTGAGCCAGGCTGAGTTTGACTGGCACAACAAATACGGGTCTGACAAGCTGTGCTTGGTGCAACAGTCAGACTAGTTCCTGTCTGCTACGAGTTTTTGTTTGACCTGCTGAAAATGTCATACTGAGGCAAAACGGAAGAAAATTCACTATTAAAAATGTTTGGCTTTAGACCACTGTTAACACTCTCTCATCAAAACACACGGATTCAATGACAATATTAGTGCAAATATGGATCGTAAAAGTGACTTGGCAGAATATTCTTTTGCTCCATCTGTTTTAAACATATTTTCTCTCCACTAAGCACCATAGTAATTTCTTTGCAAGTGAGGTAGAAGGAAATAGCTCTGTGGAAACATGACTTAGCCCATCCGTCCCAGACTAATGAGGCCCTTAACAGATTGAAGGCAGGTTTCCCAGTGGTGCTAGTCCTGCTGCCTGGACTAGCCTCCTTGAGAGCCACCATGAATGTTTTCATGAATATGCTTAAAGGAAAAAAAAAAATCAGTCTTCCCAGGAAATTCTTATAGAAGAAAATTCAACACTTGATTAAGGAAAACCCCAAAAGCCTATCTGAGAGGCCAGCTCTTACGCACTCTTCATTACCTAACTGTTCAGGTAGCTGCCATTAAAATGAAACAATTAAAGATCAGCCCGTGACTGCTTGCTTAACAAGTTATAACTCATTGCAAGTAAGGATGAAAGACTCTGACCTGTAAGAAATTTGTTTAGAAGCCACAAAAGTTTGCTACTTATCTTGGCCACAAGCTGTCTTTTTACACGTGCAGGGGATATAGCAGTAAGAACAGAAAAACAAATAAAATAAAATAAAACAAAACAGTACTGTAGTTAATAGCCTCATTAAGACAGCTTAATGCAACCAACTAATTGTAAGCAAATTGAAAACAAGGAAACTAATGAAATGGCATAACTTTTCATGCTGGCAGTTCCCTTGAAAACAGTTTACAGTATTCTGAGTAGCAAAGCATAAGAACCAGTGAGCACATCTGTACCAAAAAAGGCAACAGCTCTGAAAATACCACGAGAAAATACTATGAGAGCTGTTATCTTTCATTTCACTGCTGAAGTGGCTCTCATGAAACACAGAAACATCTGCAAAGAAGCACAGACACAAACTAACTACACTGATCATAAAGCTAGTTTTAACAGGTTTCTCAGAATTCCCTTCAACTTCTGTACAGTCACAGATTTTTGCCAAAAATCTGCATTAAAAAGGCACAGAAAACTACAGTAACTTACCTTGCAGCGACAGATACAGATCATCTATTTCGGAGGAAGCCTGCTCCTCTGTTGAGGGAGATGACTGCTTTGATGCCATATTAAATCCTATGGAGATTCTTTAATCAATTTCCAAACTGAAATTATATTTTAAAAAAAAAAAAAAGAAGAAAATTAGTACAGTTTTATGATGATATTAAAGATGCTCAAGTGTGTGCAGAGACATGTGTTTTGTTTTGGGATTTCTTCTCTCAGAAAACAGTAGGCTGTTTTCTTAGCTCATACAGAATAAAGCAAATGTTCCTACTGCATGAATCCGAGTTTTGGTCCCTTGTAAGGGTGGCCAGCAGTACTCTACAACACAAGCCACGGATCCCAGTCTGTCTTGCCATGAAATCAAAAGCACTAGGATTCAGAAATTTTCAAAGACAGTTGCTTTCTTTGAGAAAGCCAGGCTGACAAAGGCTCACAGTGCCTTTTGCAGATTTGTTGCTGCCAAACCTCAAAGGTTTTCTTTAAATCTTTGTACTTTTCAGATACCTCTTCCTGTCCAGATAATTGTTGCAGAATGGAAACAATTTAGGCAGAATACGCAAAGATTAAGATGAAATGAAAAAGCAGTGGTTATCATATGAGAATAATCACAACTGCTGTCTCTGTCTGATACCTTTGTTACTCCTCATCTCCCATGAAGGACTTTCTTTTTCCAACTCCTCCACTTTCCTCTCCCTGGATACCTCCCCTATCTCTCATGCAACTTTAGTGAACAATATGCTGTATCTTTCTTAAAAGTCTAACACTGTTTCTGGTACCGTAGTAGCTATACTGTTCAATTTGTTGTGGTTGGAAAAACTGGATATTTAGATACAGACTCATTTTTATCAAAACTTACAAGTTAAACAAATTCAAAAAGAAATAAAGCTGAAAATTAAATAAGAGCTCACCTTAAACAAACTTTGTTGCCTAAATATAATGCTGCCTTCTCATAAGAAGTACTAGGATTTACACATCATATATTAACAACTCATCTACAAGTATGTAAGTCAAAATAAAGCACATGAATAGATGACTAAGGAAATGCAACATTAAAGAATGCCAGAACATTTTTTATATTCAGTCCCTTTTGCATATGAATCATGAGGCAGCCTTTGTTTACTCCACTATATACTATTTTTCCTCACTCCCCGTCTCCCTCACTGCACAGAAAAGACAACATGTGTTTAATGAGGAGCTATTCAATATTTTGTTTTCCTCACCCAGAACAATGTGTGTCCTTGTGCTTTATCCAAGAGCTGCTCTGATGACAGCATTATTAAGTCCTCGCAAGATTTTCTATGGCACTCATCATCCCGGCATCTGACCACTTCACAAACATCAATTAATTCACATTCACAGCATCTATGTGAGATTAAGGGGTTACTGACCACATTTAGAAGCACAGAATGGTTTGGGTTGGAAGGGAACTTTAAAGATCATCTAAGTCCAACTCTCCTGCCATGGGACATCATTTTACTGATGACAAGCAAAGGCACAGAGAGAAAAAAGGGGAAAAAAGTTGCTAATTTGACTCTTGATTTCCAGAGAAACAGATATTGGTTCATACAGCCGAAGCACTGATTCCAACTGCTGCAGTGAGTACACAGTGTTTCTGCAAGTCACCAACAACTTGTAACAAAAACTCAAGGCACCAGATTCAAGAAAAGGGAGTTCTAGCTGGGGCAAGTAAAAAAGATGAAAGTTATCCAGATTATCAAAGAAAAGAGAAAAAATATTTTATAGGAGTTTGGCTTGCTTAGCCTGCAAAAAGAGGAGGAAAGGGACTCATTTGATCTTTGACAGACACAAGAACAAGATGATAGAAATAAGTCATGCCTTGATGTTAAGATGGAAATCAGAAGATTTATAAATATTGGGTTCTAGCAAAGTCTCCCAATACAGGCAATTGGCACAAAGGCTTTATGTGATTTTAGGATTGGAATTGTAATAAAGCTGTTGCCTGTATTAAAGGCACACTTGGACTTCCAACCCTGGACAGCTCTCAGAACTCCGCTGTTCTCAAGCTAGAAGAACTAATCTCAAGTCAGACAACCAAAAAATAACCACGCAGTTAGCTACCACTGATAAAAACTGGAGTTTAAGCGCCAGGGCTAGCATCTCACAGGAACTGAGTGAGGGCAAGGGCTGAGCAAGAATCCAGTTCTCCCAGCGGCGCCACCTATGCCAAAGGCAATGCAATCTTTCCTGGGAAACTCCTTCCTTTTTCTCTCAAGATCAAGCGATACAAAACCAAAGACTACAAATGCAAAATGTCAGATAGTCTTAATATCTTTTGGGTACCACTGTATGTCCTGAATTCGATTGTGCGATTGTCACCTTGAAGGCTATGAAGTTAGCAGCCAGACCCAAATGGGGAGTATGGAAGCAAAATACAAACCACATCATCAGATATGTCGCTTTTTGCTCCCAGGACACAGGGATAGTTAGCTGCATTCTCTCCACCTGGAATTTCCCAGTGGCCAACTGTAGGCTTTCAGAGATACTTAAGAAATAGTAAGTCATGGGCAACAGTGGATCCACAGGTGAAATCAATGAGCCTGCCTGAATTTGGACCTAAAGCTATAACTCAAATTGGGTGTAAAGTAAGAGGGATAGGACTAGAAGCACACACGTAGATACCCACCGTTGCCACATCAGCATAACCTACAAGCAAGACGTCCCCAAAACTATGTATGTATTTATATTCCTGTGGTTCTGGAGCATGCACTCAACATCAGTGGCAATGCACGCTCTTTTCCTCTTTAACACAAGTTTATTCTCATTTTTTTTTCATTTTATTTTAAACTAAACACTATTTAAGATTTTCTTTCAAAGGCACAAAAGCAGAACAAAATCCCCAAACAGTGAAAACACACATATCTGATTGACTTTAATGCATCCAAATTTGAGATGGCGACATAGGCGGAGCCAAGTCACGTTCACCTAACTTGCACAATGCTAAAGTCATTGGGACCATAGTCCAGAGAAAGGGAGCGGGATTTGGCATTAAAATTCCTCTATAATAACAGGAAGATATGCAAGAGCCACAAACAGTATTAATGGAAGTTTCATAAACAAAACAAAATGTATTTTCAGCCTTTCTGTGACTGTTCCTCCTCTGGCCCCATCCCTTGCCAGCTACAGCAACCACACAGTACATAGTGTCTCCTTCTGTGTTCTTGTACTGCACTTCAAGTGATGGGACCCCAATCTCAGTTCGGAGCTCTAAGCATGCCCTGCCTCTGATTCCCTCCCTGCCCCAACAGAAGACTCCACAGCTGCTTTGAAAGGGAGACACACACACACATACTCTTGGAGGACATACCTGCAAGGATTAGTATTCTTTAAAAGGTACAAGGTACAGATTGTCTGAGAAGGGATTATACAGCAACAATATGCTAGTCCCTTTGCCCTCCTCCCCCCCCCATTTCATTCAAATAAAGCATATTAAGTGTAACTATATCGAGTATAAAACTGTCAAGCTATTGGTAAGATTGCTTAGCAATGCTTAACATAGGCATTAGTAACAAGCATCTTTTCTACTTCGTATTTAAATTGACTGTTTTGTTTCATAACAACTCAACAAACTTGCAAAGCTAAACCAAATCCTTCATTTCCATGAAATGCTGGACAACCATTAAAGGTATACCTATCGTGTTGAAAGGAAATCAAATCTTTTCAAACAACACCATGCCTTTTCAGTGGGGATAAAACTGAAAGTGAAGAAAATGACCTTGTCTTTCCCTCTTTCTGGAGAGTCTGCCATTAATACGGGAAAGCATTAACTGCTCACACCTTGGGATAACCTGTAAGGTATCACAGAGCCAAAGAGAGAGTTCCAGGAACACTGGGACCTTGTTTCCAATGGATTTGTTTCCTGTTGATTAACTTATGTGAATTGCACCAGAGCTGTTGTGCGAGCTCATCTTTTCTTCAGCATGGGAGAAGTCACACAAGAAAGGTGCATTACAAATGTCCTCCTCAAGAGAAGAGCTTTCCCTTGGTGTTCTCCAAAGGAGTAAATTCTTGACCACCTGGGCTCAACCTGCAGCTCAAATAGTTCAACTATCAACAAAAGCTTTTGTCGTGATAAGGGCACTCATAAGACTCAAACCCAGGCTTTCCTCTAGTGGGTATCGGTAGAGTACTTCTTCTCTTCCCTCTCCAGCTGTTCCCACAATGGGCATCTAAAAACATAGGTGGAAATTAGATCAGCACAGTCAGATCACATAATTTCAACTTAGCTTCCTTCAGATCTCTCTTCCTTTCCCAAGTTCAGCTCAAATTGGCCAGCAGATTAAAAAATGTACTGGGTATTAATACACAGGCATAGGCACATTGACAGACAGAAACCTAAAAGCAGGTAGCGGACTGGAAATCTCAAGAAACTAACATGAAAATAAACATACCGAAGCTTTACATTCCAGAGATCTTATCATGAGAATAGACGACACTGATTTAAATACCATGGCTCCAGTGAGGCTTAAGTCCCAATGAGACCTAAGGGATGCTCTTCTTAAGCATGGTCTTCATAAGAACATTCTTGTCTCAGAAGAAAGGGGTAAAAACAAGTTTCAGGTGGATTTGGAGGATTCATTAGCAAGGATTTCACAGCAGGTGGATCAGGGTGGTTTGCAAAACTTTCAGCTGCTCCAAGTACCGAGCACAGTAAGATTTCATCATATGAAAAAAATAGCAGTTATACAGTATGGTCCTCTATGGTGAAACCATTGCCATTTTCAAAACAATTCACGTAACTACGGTTAGAATATAAAATGTGCATTTCATAGAATCATAGAATCATTATGGCTGGAAAAGACCTTTAAGATCATCAAGTCCAACTGTTATCTAACTCTACCGGGCCCACTTCTAAATCATGTCCCTGAGCACCATATCTAGACGGCTTTTAAATACATCCAAGGGTGGCGATTCAACTGCTTCCCTGGGCAGCCTGCTCCAGTCTTTGATAACCTTTTCAGTGTAGAAGTTTTTCCTTATGTCTAACCTAAACCTCCCCTGGCACAACTTGATGCCATTTCCTCTTTTCCTATCAATTATTTAAGGTTATTTCTATAAAACAGCTGTGCACACTAATTAGGAAGCACGGCA